TCTAGGAATCGTGGATCGTCGATCCCGCCGTCGAAGCACTGGCCGATCGGTGGCTCGAGGCCGGCGAAAACTCGCTCGGAACCTGTCAACGCGAGAACCACTTCTGAGATTGCGTGCGCCGCGGTATAAGCGAAAATAATCCACGCACACGAGCGCGCGCGTGCGAATACTCACGGGCACCCACACTAGTTTCCGCTCCGTTCAGCTGCTTCGCCGGTATTTGTCCAGTGTGTTGCTTCGCGACGCGTATCGATGTGTGTGCAAAGGTATGCGCGAGCGCTGCTATCAAACGGTGAATATTCGCGCGTGTGTGTGTGTGGGAAAACGCGTCACACAAGCGGTCCGAATGGAAATAGAGCCGTGTGCGAGCGTTCTGGCGGTAGAAGGACTTGACATGTGGGCAGAGCCAGAGATAAGATTATGCGAAGCCGCGCTAGTCCATGGTTATCGCGTGAATTTTTATCGCAACCGTCCCCTGAATACCTTTTCCCCGCCTCGACCAAGCTCGATTACGTGTGTCGGGCTTTCACGCTGCACAGGTCGAGGATGTAGGTTTTGGTCGGATGAGGGGGGGATCTTAATACCACTGCGTGGGTATCGTTGGCAGGAACAATTGGATTGCTGTAAGGACATATTTTCATAACTTCTGCGTGGTATATACCGCAATGGCGAACGAATAACGTACGACCAACGTACGAGCAACGAATGGCGCACTCGGAATGGAGTACCCCAGAGAGAATTCTGGCGAACGGTCTTCGCGATTGCATCGCCACGCCAATCGACTTTTGTTCGGTGTCCAGGGAAAAGCAACGATATCTGTTTGCGAAAGCTTGCCGGTCGTCACAACGGGCGACTTTGTACTCCGCAGTTAACACGTGTGTTCCCGGGTCAGTTCTCAGGGACGGGGTCTGTCGGCTCGTTGGGCTTTCTTGGCAAACGGCGCCAGGAGGAAGGCGACGGGTAGGATCAAAGAGAGAATTCTGGAATACGTGGAAAATAAATATTCCATTAGACTTTATTTCCATTTCTAAGGAACTTTCTTATTGTGCGATTTTGCTGCCCGCTTACGTGCACCGTTTCGAACGGCCCCACCGCGTCGTGGTGGTCCTAGAAATCCGTAAGAGCGTCTATATCTCCGTGATCGTTAATTGCGAGAGAAATCGAGTCGTGTCTTTGTCGAATTTTTCCGCCAATTTCCATTTGCATCAGCCACGCGAATAGGAAAAGGAGCGCTACGCCTCCTCGTTCGCCAACACGTCGGTACGTGTCGCACTACATTCTCCTGACTGGCGTAAGCGGCACAAGTGGCTTTATACATATGTATGCAATGTAAATAAGCGAGAACGTAATGTAAACGGCGCGCAAAAATACCCGTAACACCGGATTATCGCAACGACGGGGGGACACCCGGCACCAAAAAGCATTGCCGATAAGTCTAAATCTATTTTAATTAGTCCCGTTAAAGAACGTGAAAGTCTGGTCGTATCGGCAACGACGGGCCGGTGATCGAAACGTTTTAGGTGGCCATTGAAATTCAGCACAGGCGAAAAGACAAAGTTATTCCCTCGCGTGACCCTGTCCTGCTTCTTTTTGAACACGACCACCGGTAGAATTTATTGTCTTCGTTACATCGGCGTACGCGTTATTCCTCTTTTATACCTGTTCAATTTACTACCGTACACGTAGAACATTTTGCATTCCAGTTTGCAATTTCGAACGGTTGTATAACTGAAATGGCCGGGTCTCTTTTATTTCTTAATGGAGAAACTGGTTATCGCGTCTTGGAATCTCATAAACCGAACGAGTTAGATAAATAGTAATAAAAGGCTCGAGTTCTCGAATGGAGATTCAGGGCTCGGTACATTCGTTATTTTTGTTGCAATTATAAGGATAAATATTTATCGAACCGCTTTCGTACATCTGCCGCCATCTGGAAAAACGTATAGTTTGGCAGATGGCGCAGCGTTGCTGATAGCATGGACGAAATATGGAATAGACGTATCAACCGATGTATTTTTTCCTGTTACATTTCGGCTGACACAGAGCCACCTTACTGTCTAGTCGTTTTCAATGTTACCGATTCAGCTTGGAGTAGGATCACGACAATGGTATCTTAATTCTGTGCTTAACTCTTGCGTGGTACCAACGCCAAATTTAACACGCTTAATTTATTTTAAAACTACAGCCACCATCCATTACATGTCTCGGATTTCGCGTTGTTGCCAACGGGAATACCGAACACTGATTCTACTTGGTCCGTAAGTCCAGTAAATCGAGTAGATTATGGTATTTGTCGATGGTCATCGTCCGTTCCATTCACGTTTCATTTCGATGAAAATTCCGATCCTTTCGATACGAAGTCGAATCAACAAATAAGCCCGCGAAATGGCGCAGCGGCCTTTATATAGTCGGCCTTCGCAGCCGAACATTTGTCGGAAATATCCGACTGTCACCGATTCCGATAATAATTATTCTTCTATTGTAATAACCGACGTTTCATCAATTTTTTCTTGTTTTCTTGTTTTTTTAATACATGTACTGTTGTGAAATAATTTGTTTACAAATATTATACACTTTTTAATTATTTAATAATATCATTGATACATGTATGTCTCAATACACGATTGTATCAAGATATTTTTTTATATCTGATTAAAATACTAATATTTACTTTTATTAAAAATAATTTGGCAAGGGAAAATGTTTGTACAGCTGTTTTATCGGTTACGCAGCATACGTTGAAAATACTTCGTAATTTCACCGCTCGAAATCGCAGATGGCATCGCGAAACCTTTGAATTTTTGAACGATCGATATTTCAGAATAGTAACGGTAAGTCCCATGGGATAATGAGACTATTCCCGTTACGGTTTTAAATATTGAATTGTTGGAAAATCGATACGAAATTTAACATGAAAAGTTAGTGTTATTGATTACGAGATGTTAATCGTGCTGCTTTTACACTGTGATAAACTATAGATGAGTAAAACAGCGCCACAAATTGCTCTGAAATAACAAAAGATTTCGACGACTTACGTAGGTGTATACGGCATATGTATCTTTATTTCCGTACAGTCTATTTCGATTATCTAGTAATTGGAAGGGATTCAAAAAATTTAATTGGAAAACGAGGCTAACGAATAGTCGGTTAAATTAATATCTAGATTTATTGTCTAAGAGTATATCATTTTATATGTACATATATACATGATTTTATTTGCAATATTTTTAATCCTTCGTTAGTTTTCTAAATTTGAGCTCCATAGAGAGAAATGCTTTCATGTTAGGATCTTGTACTTTGTCGATAATTAACTTTTGTACGTCTAGGTCGCTCTTTTCCAAAGTGGCACTCAATTTTTCCGCATACTCGATCCATACGCAATTTGCGCATCCAGACATACAACAATTCGTGGGTTCTGACATATCATCTATCGAGGAGGCATCGTCATGTTCGTTTCCTTCGGTAACTTTTTCCTCGGATGATAATATCGACGATGTTCTATTGATAAATCTTTTCAATGTGAAATATATTTGTTGACAATTACATTTTTGATTTTTACCAATTAATCGAGAAGATCGGACTAAGCTCATCGCTGTTTTATTACACCTTGTAGATATACCTGGTTATAAAAAAAATAAAGAATAAGATAAGAATACAGTACAAAAAATCACGTATATCGATTGCATTCGTGTTGTATAATACCGTGTTTTGACGCAAATAATTGCCATACATATTTAGTAAAACGTTAAATATTATCTCCTAACCTCGTTGATCACTTTAATCGTATAGGCAACATGTAACATAGATTTAACACCTAGTAGTGGACTTTTTGTATTGCACATGTGACAACAGATAGATCTAGAATTTTCTAACCATTCTATATCTCTTAACATTTTACTTTTTATCCATCGTTCCGAGAATCACTACAAAGAATCATAATAGGTTAAACATGCAAGCTGAACAGAACTTCGATGATTTAGAGTTTGCAGAGCCCTCTCTATTTAATACATTGCGCGCTAAAATACAATTTTCTTACTGTTATAATTACTGATCCTTCTTTGCAATTGCGTCATAAATTTACACTTTGGTAATTTATTGTAACAAATAACTTAATAATTTGTAGACTTATAAATTCTGTAGGTTAAAGGTATAATATTTATATACTATTAACATTTGATATATGTATAGCGTAGTACTATATATGGTTATTAATTTTTAAAGTAGGAAAATATATATTTATAGATATATATGAGATAAGTTAGATTAATTATTATTCATAAATTGAGAATAGGCATAACAGGATTATTTTATATCTTATCCATTTTAAAATTATATATTTTGCAACAATATCGATTTTGTGATTGAAAATCGATTGTTTCATTTATCAATATTTTGAACGCGAGACATTTTCGCGGGGCGTCTCATATTTGAGCAGACAACCGTGTTGGCCACGTGAAAATCGTGCTTTCTTGTGCGTCGCATTAAAATGGGTCGGAAAATCCCAGGAAAAAAGCACAAAGGTGTAAAAGATCCTTTCAAACAACAGGCAAAACGTCAAGCAGAGTGAGTTGTGTGTTAAATAAACTTAATTCTAGAATTATTAACATACGTAGCGAACTACCTATTATAGGTTAGAAACAAAGATAAATGCACCGCCAAAAGACACGGACGAACAAGCGGTACCAAAAAGTTTAGAAAAAGTAGTAAAGTTAAAGGAGAAAGTGAAATCAGGGAAAATAACTAAGACAAAGAAAAAGAAAAAGAAGAAAAATGCTCTCATATCTGTCGGAGAAAATTATTCGAAGCGTCTACATCCAAAGGCTAGACCAGAGAAAGTTGTCCCTATGTTTCAACAGAGGCCTGGGGAAAGCGAGGAAGAATTTTTGTACAGAGTTAATAGGGATACGCATGCTTTTATTAATGAGTCTGCTTTTGAGAGGAAATACAGTGTTCAAGTCAATCGAAATCCAACCACAGGGGTTATTGAAGGACTTTCAAAATGTGAACAAACCGAATTAGATAAAATTGAAATGTTGAGGGCAAAGCATAAAAATATTAAAAAGAAGAAGAAGAAGAAAGATATGGATAAGCCTAAAATGACTAAGGCTGAAAAGAAGAAGCAAAAATTAAAGTTGAAAAAACAAAAACAAATGGAGGAAAAGACGGACGACTTTGATAGCTTTAAGGATGAAGTTCAATTTGGAGAAGTTGTTCATGAACCACCTCAATTAAAAATCAGACCAAGGAATGCCAACACTATAAGTACCTCCAAGGTACATTTTATAATGATACCTTCTTTATCTTTTAGTCATAATATTTATAAAGTTATCTCAAATTTGTTATAGCCTGGCAAAAAGGAACTTCTTCTTCATTCTATGCTACAGAAAGGGGAAAAATCAAAAGCGAATTCTAAGAAATCAATATCCATAAATAAGTCAGGGAAACGCAAGAATTTACCTATTGGAGAAAGAAGACAATTGGAGAAACAACAAAGTGATGTCATAGCAGCATACAGAATGTTGAAAGCACAACGGTCTGCTGGTGACAACTAGGGTATGTAAATGATTAAAAATCACAGAATATCTTTTTTTATGCATTTCTTTTTATATTGCTATATTTGCAAGGATGCCATGAATCATTTTGTTGTGAAATTGTCTATTTTTATTTTAATAAAATGTACAATCTTTTCATCATAGTAAACTGTATATATTTTTGGAATTAAACATATTTTTTTACAATTATACAATTACTAGGGTTAACGCGAAAATAGATGTATATATATATATATATATGTTTTCATAGACAAGATTTCTGTGCAACACATGTATAGGTACTAGAAATTTTTCCATAGGGATTAGTAGTAAAGATTCATTTGGTAAAGATTCAGTGATTAATAAAAGAAACAAAACAGATTTCTAACATTCTCATCCAGATTATCTCTTAGCACCAGTGCAATGTACTTGTAATTTTTCAAGCTACCATTCAGTATAATCTTTTAACATCTATTCTACCCGGTAGTCCATACAAAGGGTTCTAATCTATCCTCAACTGGTAAAAGATTATTTAACATTTCAAGACTCTCCAATGTTTGATTCAAAAGGGTATGGCATTTAGTTAATTGTTTACTAAGCTCATGTACTTTGTTTAGTTGTTCAGCAAACCTGGCAAATTTTTTTTGCCTTTCCATTGCCAAATTAAGAATCCTGGTAACCTCTGGTTCAATATTAATGCATAGAGTAGATTGTTCAGTGGCAATCATTTGAGCATTAGTGTTAAGGTGATGTTGATAACGAGCACACAAATTGAACAGACCAATGGGATTGAGTCTTTCCAGGACCTCTGGATCCCTCACACCTGGGGGCAAATTAAGAGTGCCACGCATGATAGGTAGGAACATGGGAATACTTTGTAATTTAACCAAATCAGGATCCTTGTCAGCCGTGGGATCTGCCATAGCTGGTTTCACTACTACTATATTATGGATTTTATCAGAGGTAGTTTTTCTGTAATTAGGAATTAAAAATTTATTATTCAAATAAAATATATTATTAAAAAATATGTATCAAAATGATCACCTGTAGCCACCGGAACCTAAGCTATTTTTACGTCTAGATATATCTTGTGCACCCAAACTTTTGCCTCTATATAGCTGTGACTGTTTATTCGTCATCTTTGGTGAATCTCCAATAGGTCTATTCACAGTGTAAGATATATACGGTAGGTCAGAATCCGAACAAATGCTTGCACCAGGACTGGTACATCTCGGTGGTGTGTCTTCTGGTACTCTTTCACGATTTGGTACACTTTTACCACGTCTTAATGGTATATTTCTTGTCCTATTAGCATTAGCACTTTGGGTACCACCATGAGAGCTCTGTTCCGACCCCATCCTTTCCAATCTTTTTTCTTCTAATTTGCACTAATTAATTAGTAAGAATTACATCAACTATGTACACTTACTTAACCATATACATTAATCTTCCTGGTTTCACAATGAAATAACTTTTTTATAATTTATGATATAGATATCCGATGACAAGGATACTAATAACAATAATCGTCATGTTAAATTTAAGGCCAACCAACGTTGCACATTCTCGTATAACGTCTTAATTAACGACTCGTTGCAAGAGTACATTTTTGTTCATTCCACGATTAAAGAGGTTCATAATAATCAATAACGTTGAAGGCAAGTTTTTCGACTCATCGTGAAATTTCAGCCTCCCTCTGATCACGTTATCACACCGATGCCGTTAGAACGATAATCGTACCGCTTAATACGATGACAGAACCACTTCGAAATCGGGTTTTTCGTTTCTGTTGTCAAAAAGTCATTTGCCTCTCGGTCATCGATTGTTCACGCTGTTAGATTTCACGTGTCGTAGCCGTTCGTGCGACAGGAGCACCATCTGTTGAAATTGATCGCGAAGTCGACAGTAGGAAGCCTGGTTTTCGGTCGATAACGTAATTTCCTGCAGCCAGTTTCACGGAAAAGAAAAATATGTGAAATACTATCGTCTCTTTCTATTTTCCCTCTTTTAAAGAGATAGGAGGAAGCTCTTCTACGCTTTAACAAAATACCACGTTAAATATTAAATATTAGTATTTTAAGTCACGAAAATTTGGTTATGTCGCGTCGGGACTTTGTCCACGTTTCTTGTTTCAAAATTTGATTTAACTCTTATTTTATTTCCCCGAAGTTGGCGAGAGCTGTTACCAGAAATATACGGCTGACGTTTTATCGCGATACATAAATCTCTGCTCCGATGACACGGTTGATAATCGATTTTATCCTCTAGATTTTTGTATTTTCAACTCGTATTATCCAAATCTTCGATAACGCCTAAACACTTTGCAGCTGCGTCACGTGACCAGATAATCGTCGTTTTTTCAGCAAGTGTTTCCCCATAAACGTAGATAAGAATAGTGATCGTTTTTTTTTCCACGTTCGGAGCGTAAAAAGGATACGCGATTGGTATATTGCTCATACATTTATCCCGATCGAGATCAGAGAAATCCACGCGAGGCTCGTTTCGATTATTCCTCTTAACAAATTTCCCTAAGAAAATTTAAATGTATTCAGAGGTTCGCCTCGTGATTTCGTTAAGCAGCGGTAAAATGTAAATTTTCACGTGGCCCAACGGGTGCAATGATCCTTGCGCGTATACGTTCGGGTTTCATCCAGGCTTTCCTTGCCCCGTCTAACTTGGCGCGAAGATATCAACATTAAATTTACATCGGTTCTCGGCGTGACGCGGCGCATACCGTTAGGCTTCATTTTTCCCTAGCCTGACACCACAAGTCCGCGCGGCTCGGGAGAATTCTTGTGCAATCGCGTTTATATGTCAGCGAACGACATTTTCTCTAGGCTTCGGCTGAATCGAGTTATCGAGCATCCGAGTATTATACTCTCAACCATCCTACATACTCGAACACCTCGGAATTTCGATGCTCCCTCGAATTTTACTCCCAACCGCTCCGTCGCGAAAATTCGGTAACGTATAAAAATCCCCCAAAAATGGTAAAAATGGTAAAAATGCGCGAAGAACGAGGTACACGGATGAAAGCGAACATCTGGACGATCATTTTCTACCTTTTTTTTTATTGTCCGTCCTTTCGTAACCATTCGCGTGACCATTTTCTGTGTAAACGAGCGATCGGAAAGCGTTTAGAAAGTAGCGTAGGTTTTAGAGGAAAAAAAGGCACAAAGTCGCTGGTTTTGCGTGCGAGCAGCGTATCAGCTAAGCGTCCGGTCGATGTAATGATCAGTGCATGGTAGAAAAGCGATCGGAAGCGCAGTTACAGTAGATACACAGAAATTTCTATCAGCCGCCGCGACACGCTTGACGTTTCATCGCCGCACTTCCTCCTCGTCGCTTCCCGTGATTTTTAACGAGCACTCGTTACCGACCACTTTCTAACTCATTGACGTATCCGGGCATTATCTTCACGGGCCGGCTAACAACGATGGAAACCAGCGTTCCGGTCCTGTTTCTTATCGGACCGACGAATACGAGACGCTGGACCATGCTTCTCTAAATACGGGGCCCGCAGCCGAACTTCCGCCACTGTTTCTCGCTCGTGGCCAAAAAATACGGGGAAAAAATCGCGAATTAATTAGCGAAGTGGGTAACACCTCGTGGGTCGTAAAAATTTCGCGGAATTCGTGGTATCCTTGTACATTCCCCCACCGCTACGTTTGCAGATGCACTTCCGGTCGCAGTTACTCGTACCAGTAACTGCTTTACGCCTCACCTTGGTTTTATCGTAAAAGCTCGCTCTCTTATGAGCTTCTTGCCATTCAGACGCACACGATGCTCTATTAAAACGAACAACAGTGTCTTCTCGTCGCGTCCTCGGAGCAGTCGTATGTACATACATCAGGTTCAATTATACCATCGATGTACGACATTCAAATTATCAGCGAGAGCACGCGTGGATCGAAGACGAGACCATCACGTTTGCGAGGTAAAACGACGCGTGTCGGGTATTTTTCTATTCGCCATATCGCCGTTCAAGGTTTATTTATTCGCCTATTTGCTCTTCCTAGGTATCTTTTATTCCTCTCTTGGCTTAGTCCCTCGAAGCTCGCAATCAGATATTAACCTTTCTCATATGTACACACTCCTCTGCCTCCTCGAGATAGCAATTAGAATTAACCCCTTGTACCGCGATAACGAGTCTAATTGACCACGAGTTCGTGTCAAATCTTGCGATTATGAGCCACATCACGCTAGCGTAATTATATCCAAGACGCTCGAACGGGCCGAAAATCCGAAGAATTTCTGCCATTTTTAGCCAATTTTCTCGCAGTTCCTTCGCCTCGGAGCGAAATTAAATATGCATGTAATTTTTCGTAATCGAGTCGTGGTGCAGGGGGTTAACGACGAATCTTCTTAGGTTTCGGAAGGTAGTCGGGCAAAATTGAAAGGGAGAAGGAGAAAAACGAAAGTGAGGAAAGAAAATTGATCGGGGTGGGGGTTATCGTGGAATATCCAGCGGGTGGTATTGCGCCTGGAACTTACGTTAATAAGAGGCCACGGAGCAAATGGAATATGCATGCATGAGGCTCGTGATGTCTCTCGCAAGCTGTTTCAGATTCCAATATCCCTCTCGGGCTGAGTGCTCGAACAGCCACGGCCAGACTTGTGCCGTCTGCTACAAGCCCGAATTCTCGAAAATTTCGAACTTCTTCACGCGTCCCGGCCCCGGTCCGGATTTTTAATTTCACGTCTCGGGTACGGGGGTGCAGACCGAGGGGTCGGGAGAAAAAAGGGAGAAAAGAAATACTTGACCGGTGTTTTCGTGGCCGCGATATCCTCGTGAATAATTCATCGCGGAATTTCGTTCTGCTTCGGAGCAATCTCGCGATATACACACGCTGGGAAATATGAAAAATTGTTATTTTCCACGAGTGTCGCGAGCTTCCTCTCTCCATCCCGGCTCGTTCGCATTTTTTCTCCCGATTAACTATCTAATCTCCGCGGCCAGGGCTACCGGCAGCGCTCGTATTCTTTATCGAATCGCGAAGAGATGACGATCTTCGATAACGCGCGGACTCTCCTCGCGAGAACAAGCACAGTGGAAAAAATCTTATCGAAATAAACGGCTGGTCGAGTGGTTAAACATCGTTCGTGTAAGCACGCTGTTTAAAAAGCTAAATTGCACGGTCGTACATCGGTAGTACGGTAGTGCTTTTCACTGGCGAACGGTGATTACCGAAATGACGCGTAATCGCGACACGTAATTTTTCCCGCTGTCGAATTTGTCCCGCGATTTTCCGTTTCGTTTACATTCCACCCGTTTTACAATCGTTCATCCCGCCGTTTCGCGACCATTTTTCTTCCTTTTATCCCTTTTCCCCTCTGTTTTATTTCATTTTTGCAAACGCGCCGCAACTATCCCCC